TGCGTGTGCATGCACAGTTTGCAAAGTTCATGAAAGCAGTCGTGCCTGCACTAGTCACATGCATGCTCGTACGAGCAACAATATAGCTGAGCAGCGACCATCGGATGCAGATGAACTTGCAGTACAACAGCTTGAAATGGGAGTAACAGCACCGCTTCCTATTGTTGCACTGTGCAGCTTGCAACTGTTCCTGCCAACTCTGTGCACAAAGTGACGGCAGCTAGCAGGCACCAAGCCCTGGTGCGGCCACAGTTGGCTGTCCGTTACCCTCTTACATGCAGCTTCAACCGTTGTTTCGCTGCTGTTTAGACACACTGCACAGCCTGTATTGCAGCTGAATCGTAACATATCCGTCCTTTAAAGCTGCATGCACCCATTGCTGCCGCTGCTGCAGGCGCAGATGATGCCACGCTGGGCACCATCGGGCAGCACCTCACCAGCCTGGTGCACCTGGAGCTGTACCAGCTGCCAGCAGGCTACAGCCAGGGCGGCCTGCGCGGCATAGCAGGGCTCAGCAGCCTCAAAACTCTCATCCTGGAGTTAGCCTCGCCAGGCACAACACTCGGCAGCCGCATGCGCAACCAGTGGAGCCAGCACAGCGCAGTGCTGCTGCCGTTTGAGCTGGCCGCGGAGGTTGGCAGTGAGGCTGCTGCTGCTGCCGGCAGCCTGGGGGTGCCGCTGCTGAGCACCAACCCCATCCTGGCGTTTGCTCCCCCAGCTGACTGGGGCCTGGTGAGTGCGGGTGTGGGGTGCTTTCTGTGAGCAGCATGCTGCAAGCCTTGTTGCACATCGTTGTAGAGCAGGTGGTGTTTCACTTCCCAGCCACATGTAGGATTATGCGTTTCTCCGTGTGCAGGTACACAAGACTACTCTTAACTAGGTGCCTGCTTGCTGCTGCTGCTGCTGCTGCTGCTGCTGCTGCTGCAACTGCTGCAGATGCGGCTGCTGCCAGGCTTCAGCAGCCCTGGCTGGTTTCCCTCGCTGCGGGAGCTGTCATTGCTGGGCTACGTGGCGGCAGCAGACAAGGACCTGCACGCACTGGTGGGTCCTGCGGCTCTGCATGCAGAGCTGCTTTGTCACTCAGTCAAAATATTGAAAGGCGGACTCAGACACAGCTTGGTTGCTGCTGGCATGCAGATGCTGCAGCAGTGCCAATGACGCATCTGGCAGCACCTGGACGCACCTCAGGTTGTTGTTACTGCTGGCAGCAGCACAAATGCTCGTAGGCATTTCACCTCTCATCTACAGTCCTTCCTCCAGCCCTGTCACCTTGTGTTTCCCCACCACCGCCACCACTGCTGCTGCTGCTGCTGCCGGCCTGCAGTCAAACCTGACAGCGCTGCGCAGCCTGAGCATGCACCTGCAGCGCCCCAGGGGCCTGGCCGGCCAGGTCACACTGCGGGGGCTGTGGAGCTTGGTGGAGCTAAGCCCTAACCTGGCCACGCTAAACCTCACGGGGTACATGGAGACGCAGCTGCTGGTGCCAGGCAGGGTGCCTGGTGTGGGGCTGTGAGGCGTCGGCGGCAGCCAGCTTGGCTAGTTGAGAGTGGTCAGTGTGCAGCTACATTGGGTGGCACTGGCGGCTAAAAGAGTCCAGCAGGAGCAAGCAGGAGCACGGCTTGAACATGTACGCCTTCTGCTGGCATTGTAAGATGGCTTCACATTTTGTGGTCTGAAGTTGGGAACCGGTTCATCCTTGAGGGTGAAAGCAGCGGTGCTGGTAGCCATAGGCTTTGTGACGCTTGCTTTTGTGAAAAGTGGTGAGTGCGAGTTGTGGTCGAAGGTTGGCATATGCGTCACCCTTGCCAAGGATGTTGCAGCAACGTATGGCAAGTATGATACATGCAATGGAGTTGCAAAGTCAACATTGTGCCCCTGATTTGTGTTGAGAGATGTGCTATGTGAGCCTTATGTGCTTCACAGAGTGACTCTGCACAGCTTGATGTCATGACGTTGTTTCGCTGGACACAGTCTTGGTGCCTTCCCGGGGAGCAGGGGTTCTGCTGGGCATGGCATGCTCATGCAGCTGCTGATGGCTCATCAGGCTGTATGGGCAAGGGATAACATTTCAGCAGGAGCAGTCAGCAAGCAATAGTGGTGCATCCTGCTGAACGTGAACAGGCTGTGCACTGAGCTCAGCTCACACCAGTGGTGTAGCTGGTGGCATGTTGTGAAGTGTGTCATGGCGTAGTCATTGCACGCAGCCGCCTGGCCATATGAGATTGCTGGTATGGTTTTCTATGTTTTGCGGCAGCTGGCTGGTTGATACAGAGTGGCAGGCACCTGCATAAATTCAGCGCGCGTGAATGGCCAAGAGCGCCGGTTGCTCAGCGAGCGTGCCTCAAGACTGCCACGCAGCTCCACCATTGATGCGTTGGTTCGTTTCCTGTCGGAATCTGGTGCGAGCGACGCATATCAAGCCGTTTTGAAGAAGAAAAACGAAAAAGAGAAGAAGAGAAGAGGGGTTACACGGTGTGCACAGGCAACTACGTTGCAACGAACACCCGAAAATCTGGAACGTCGCAGATGACTCAGCAAAACAGGCTGTCACTCAAGGAGACTCACCCCAAAAAGTCTCGATGTGTGTGTAACTTGACATATGGCCTTGCAGGCAAAGCCGTCAGTCACAGCACACGCAGTATTGATGCAAAACAAAGGCAGGACTCTAAAGAAAAACGAAAAAAAAGAAGAAGAGGGGTTACACGGTGTGCACAGGCAACTACGTTGCAACGAACACCCGAAAATCTGGAACGTCGCAGATGACTCAGCAAAACAGGCTGTCACTCAAGGAGACTCACCCCAAAAAGTCTCGCGGTGTGTGTAACTTGACATATGGCCTTGCAGGCAAAGCCGTCAGTCACAGCACACGCAGTATTGATGCTAAACAAAGGCAGGACTAGTGTAAACAGTGTTAGTGACAGCAAGCTGCACTTTATGCAGTGCAGCGGGCGGGCTGAACCCACAGAACAACACCCACCAAGCAGCAACACAGCCTGGCAGGCGGCGGTCTGAGGCGACAAACTGGGGAGAGAGAGCAGAGGACAAACCAGCTGCTGCAAGGGCCGCACGACTACAATTTGCAGCAGCGATACGGTAACTCACAGCTTCTGCAAAGCAAGACGGCTAGCTCTGGCATGTCAGAAGCTCACAGAGAGCGCACGTACACACAGTAAGAAGAAGGCCATCACCGCCGCACCACACACAAACCATTGCCACGCAACACAGTATGCCAGGCAACAAAAGGCTGTTGTGTGAGCAGCCGATTTCTATACCGTGACGGCACCCTAGCCGTAGCAGCAAAGTCCGCAAGGGCATCCCAGAAAGCACCTACTGCTGCTCTCACAGCCACTTGCTCCACCAGCTGGGGTACCCCAAGGTCACTTGACACAGCCCACGCTGCCCTGCGGCCTTTTTCAAAAGCATGCACTGCTGCAAGACAGACCATGTCCCACACCAACCGATGTACAGCGTTATGAGGGGGGCACGCCAACCATATAGCTCGGCACGGCAGGACAGCACCTGCCGGCAACAAGTTGAACGCCCGTAGTTGACTTTCCACCTCACGCCGTACCGCCACAGCAACAGGACATGCCCAAAAATGATGCTCCACCCCAGGCCCTGCAGCAGAACATGCTGCACACGCAGCAGTAGCCTGCATACGTTGAGCAGTAGGGAATGCATCCAAAGCCAAGCGCCACGCCGCTTCCTTGTACATGTTAGCCACCCGCACCTGCCACCAACGAGACAACACCGACTGCACTGCAGGCAGGCTGACTGCCACCGGCAGGGCATCCAGGGCTCTAATCCGAGTAACAAAGGCAGCATGGCGGGGCGCAATGGCATCAAGCGCAGCAAGACGTTACGAAAAAAGAAGAAGAGGGGTTACACGGTGTGCACAGGCAACTACGTTGCAACGAACACCCGAAAATCTGGAACGTCGCAGATGACTCAGCAAAACAGGCTGTCACTCAAGGAGACTCACCCCAAAAAGTCTCGATGTGTGTGTAACTTGACATATGGCCTTGCAGGCAAAGCCGTCAGTCACAGCACACGCAGTATTGATGCTAAACAAAGGCAGGACTAGTGTAAACAGTGTTAGTGACAGCAAGCTGCACTTTATGCAGTGCAGCGGGCGGGCTGAACCCACAGAACAACACCCACCAAGCAGCAACACAGCCTGGCAGGCGGTGGTCTGAGGCGACAAACTGGGGAGAGAGAGCAGAGGACAAACCAGCTGCTGCAAGGGCCGCACGACTACAGTTTGCAGCAGCGATACGGTAACTCACAGCTCCTGCAAAGCAAGACGGCTAGCTCTGGCATGTCAGAAGCTCACAGAGAGCGCACGTACACACAGTGAGAAGAAGGCCATCACCGCCGCACCACACACAAACCATTGCCACGCAACACAGTATGCCAGGCAACAAAAGGCTGTTGTGTGAGCAGCCGATTTCTATACCGTGACGGCACGGTTACGAAAAAGAAAGAAAAGGGGTTACACGGTGTGCACAGGCAACTACGTTGCAACGAACACCCGAAAACACAGGGAAACTGCAGGAAGCTCAGCACAGGCCGTCACTCATGTGAGGCCCAACCCCAGAGAAATGGCCCCCGTGTGTAAGTTTCGGCATATGGCCATGCTAGCACAGCCGCCTTCCTTACTGCACACAGTTCGCCCCCAGAAAATGTATCCTCATACGAGAAGTGGCAAATAAAGTGCTGCCAGCAGTGTCAGTGACGGCAAGCAATGCAGAGAGAACACAGGGCCGCCATGCACTAACTGCATTGCGGGTTACGAAAAAAGAAGAAGAAAAGGGGTTACACGGTGTGCACAGGCAACTACGTTGCAACGAACACCCGAAAACACAGGGAAACTGCAGGAAGCTCAGCACAGGCCGTCACTCATGTGAGGCCCAACCCCAGAGAAATGGTTACGAAAAAATAAAAAATGACAAAAATAACATTTTTGCGTTTATATACGGTTGGAATGGCGGTTACGACATCCCCTTGTAGCTCAGTTGGCAGAGCGGGAGACTGTAGTGGTTCCACTGCCAAAGGCATCTCTAGGTCACTGGTTCGAATCCGGTCGAGGGGAAGCTGTTTTGTCTTGCCAGTCTTCATTTTGCCACTGCCAGCAGGCAGCTGCACGCTTCTACACTCTCTCCAGCCTATTTTCAGTGTCACAGGTTGCAAATCTCTCTATTGCACTGCTGTCCAGCATCATGGCATCATAGCATCATGCGAAGTTGCGAAGCAGTGTGTGGTGCAGCCCACCCACAGCGAGGTGTGATCTCCAGACGACAACATGCCACAGGGTACGCCATCTTGCCATGTCTCTGGATTCTGAGGACCCCCAGATTCCTGCAGATGTTTGCTTTGGAATGACATTGTTTGGTGCTGTGGCATGTTGTCGTCTGGAGATCACACCTCGCCGTGGGTGGGTTGCAGCACACAATAGAGAGATTTGGGACCTGTGACACTGGAGATTGGCTGGAGAGAGTGTAGAAGCTATGCCCCTTGCCATGTCTTTGGAGTCCTGCAGATGTTGCTTTGGAATGACATTGTTTGCTGCTGTGGCATGTTGTCGTCTGGAGATCACACCTCGCCGTGGGTGGGCTGCAGCACACAATAGAGAGATTTGGGACCTGTGACACTGGAAATAGGCTGGAGACAGTGTAGAAGCGTGCAGCTGCCTGCTGGCAGTGGCAAAATGAAGACTGGCAAGACAAAACAACTTCCCCTCGACCGGATTCGAACCAGTGACCTAGAGATGCCTTTGGCAGTGGAACCACTACAGTCTCCCGCTCTGCCAACTGAGCTACAAGGGGATGTCGTAACCGCCATTCCAACCGTATATAAACGCAAAAAATGTTATTTTTGTCATTTTTTATTTTTTCGTTTCGCCCTGAGTAAGGCGTAAAACTGCTCCGGCTTGCTTTGCCCGCCTGGCTCTGGCTGGGCGCGGCCCGCGAGTCGCAAGCGGCGACACAGAAGACTAATGGCAGCTTAATTGGGCTAATACTAGGGCAGTCAGTTGCTTAGAGCAGCGGGCAGCGCCTGGCGACAGCACCGAGGCAGCAGCAGTAGCTTCCCGTGTTCCGCTGGTGTCTTCCCTCGACACCGCCCATACGGACTGGACTGCTTCTCCTATGAAGGCTGGAGGTTTTGTGGTTAGCCTTGTGGGGCCTTCTCGCCTGCTCTGCGCCTGTGCAGGCTTGGTGTTGGAACAGTCTGGAAGGTCCACCAGCCCCCACTGTGGTTGACGCCTGGCATGGCGTGCAGCCTTTTCTAGTGAATGCAGTGTCAGTAGTATGGTTTTCCTGGTGTGCTGCAGCGGGTGGCAGCAGCTGGAAGGCAGTACTCTTGTCGGCAGCAGCAGTAGCAGCTGCAGCAGTAGCAGCGCAGCGCACGTGCGCTGGCTTGAGTCCTGCAGTGTAGTTGGCAGCATGTGGAGGTGTAGCAGCAGCAGCCCCGTCTTGGGCTAGTTTGAGCTGGTGTTAGTGAGTGGCAGCAGCAGCATTGTGCAGCGTCTCTGCAGCGCTGAGCTCTTTGTGGCTCGCATGCAGCATTGTCATGCAGTTCTGCTACAGCAGTGCGACAGGGCATGGTGCGCTGCAGTGCCCGTAGTCATCATGGCGGCTTGCATGTGGCGCCTCGCAACCGCCCGTGCCCCGCCTGATTGCTGATTTGCTGTTTTGGTGGTGGGATCCTGTCTCTTGGCGGAGCTAGCCGCTTTGAGGCAGGCCGGGGACTACGTGAGCCCTGGCAGCCACGCTGTTTTGTACGTTGTATGATGCTGTGTGTTTGCAGCACAGACGTTGGCAAGGGCTACCTTTAGGCTGGTGGTGCTGGTTAGTTGCATGTCTGTGTGTTGACCGCTGCACACCTTTATATTCCTCTGATTGCCATGCAGTCTCCGTGTTGGGGCGGGCCGCCTGCACATCTGTGCCAGCGTGTTTGGGGCGTTTGGTGTGCCTGGGCAGCATGCCTGTTACTGCCTCTGCATCTCTTGTGAGCTTGGCTCGCACATGGTGTTTGCTGGGCCGCCTTTTGCGTGGTTCTTCTTGTTCTCACCAAAGGCTCTGCATGTTTTGGCCGCGTCTGTCTGTGCCTGTGCTGCATGCCTTGCCACTGCTTTTGGGGCCATGCCGTGTTTACACTGGCAGCCGAAGGTAGTGCATCATGTTTTGGCGCTGGCGCTGGCATTCTGCACAATAGTGCCTTGCCTTTGCTATTTGACCTGCCCGTTGGGTGGAAGCTTGTTTGGTCTGCCGAGTGGCTGCTGACAGGCCGCTGTGACATGCGGTTGTGTTTGTGTGCCTTTGGGCAGCTCTGCATTTTTCCAGCCATCTTTTCACTGCCCAAGCTGCGCTCCGCCCCAGGCTGAGCTGCGGCTTGGTGAGCTCAGCCCGCCCGCAATGCAGTTAGTGCATGGCGGCCCTGTGTTCTCTCTGCATTGCTTGCCGTCACTGACACTGCTGGCAGCACTTTATGTTCCACTTCTCGTATGAGGATACATTTTCTGGGGGCGAACTGTGTGGAGTAAGGAAGGCGGCTGTGCTAGCATGGCCATATGCCGAAACTTACACACGGGGGCCATTTCTCTGGGGTTGGGCCTCACATGAGTGACGGCCTGTGCTGAGCTTCCTGCAGTTTCCCTGTGTTTTCGGGTGTTCGTTGCAACGTAGTTGCCTGTGCACACCGTGTAACCCCTTTTCTTCTTCTTCTTTTTTCGTTTTTTCGTTTCGGGTGTTCGTTGCAACGTAGTTGCCTGTGCACACCGTGTAACCCCTCTTCTTCTTCTTCTTTTTTCGTTTTTCCTAGGTGTGGTGGGTTTGGCCTTCTGCCCGTTCATCATCACTTGTTGTCTCGCTGGGCTTGTGAAGCAATCCCCCTCCTGCAGGGCGGTGCTGCACCGTGGGTGGCAGTGGGACGGGAATTGTGGGCACAGTGGGCTAGCGCTGTGGATTGTTTCACACGCGCTGCTGCTGGTAGCCCTTGGGGCCTTGCATTGTGTGCCCGTCATCATATCTTCCCTGCGGCCCCTGCGGATGCCTGCTTGCCATCGCCTTTGCGTGTTTTGGCGATGGGTTTGCGTGCCCTGCCGCCGTTGCGTCATGTGGGCAACCAGCCTTTAGACGTGGATGGTTTGTGCTGGGAGGCTCCGCTGTGGGCCAATCCTCTGTTTACAGTGGTACAGTCATGGCAATGGTTTGATCAGCAGCGTCAGGTGGAGGTGGGCTTGGAACAGGTCGTGCCATGTGGCCTGCTGGAGCTCCCCAAGCTACAGTGTTTGGGTCAGGCAGTGTTGCTGTTGTCAGAACTTGAACGTGTCTGTGCCTTGCCAGGGCTTTCTGTTCAGCGCTCCGCTTATGCGCGCGAGATATGGGGCCCGTGGCTGCGCAGTAGACCACAGTATGGTGATCGGCAGCAGGCTCGGCAGCATGTGCAGCATCTGCTGTCGTTTGTGCCGTCTGTGTGGCATACTGCAGCACGCGCGCACCTGGCGGCTGCCCAAGCTGCTGGTATGAGCGTTGCACAATTATCCTCTGTTTCTCCTGTGGACATTTTGATTGCGCGCGAACAGTTGTGTGCTGATTTGGGTTGGCAGCGGCCAGGGGCAGGCGGTTTTATACGTTTGGCTGATCTGCAGGTTGCTGATGCCACGAAGCTACAACGTCTTGCTGCGCTTGATGCCATTGCGCCCCGCCATGCTGCCTTTGTTACTCGGATTAGAGCCCTGGATGCCCTGCCGGTGGCAGTCAGCCTGCCTGCAGTGCAGTCGGTGTTGTCTCGTTGGTGGCAGGTGCGGGTGGCTAACATGTACAAGGAAGCGGCGTGGCGCTTGGCTTTGGATGCATTCCCTACTGCTCAACGTATGCAGGCTACTGCTGCGTGTGCAGCATGTTCTGCTGCAGGGCCTGGGGTGGAGCATCATTTTTGGGCATGTCCTGTTGCTGTGGCGGTACGGCGTGAGGTGGAAAGTCAACTACGGGCGTTCAACTTGTTGCCGGCAGGTGCTGTCCTGCCGTGCCGAGCTATATGGTTGGCGTGCCCCCCTCATAACGCTGTACATCGGTTGGTGTGGGACATGGTCTGTCTTGCAGCAGTGCATGCTTTTGAAAAAGGCCGCAGGGCAGCGTGGGCTGTGTCAAGTGACCTTGGGGTACCCCAGCTGGTGGAGCAAGTGGCTGTGAGAGCAGCAGTAGGTGCTTTCTGGGATGCCCTTGCGGACTTTGCTGCTACGGCTAGGGTGCCGTCACGGTATAGAAATCGGCTGCTCACACAACAGCCTTTTGTTGCCTGGCATACTGTGTTGCGTGGCAATGGTTTGTGTGTGGTGCGGCGGTGATGGCCTTCTTCTCACTGTGTGTACGTGCGCTCTCTGTGAGCTTCTGACATGCCAGAGCTAGCCGTCTTGCTGTGAGTTACCGTATCGCTGCTGCAAATTGTAGTCGTGCGGCCCTTGCAGCAGCTGGTTTGTCCTCTGCTCTCTCTCCCCAGTTTGTCGCCTCAGACCGCCGCCTGCCAGGCTGTGTTGCTGCTTGGTGGGTGTTGTTCTGTGGGTTCAGCCCGCCCGCTGCACTGCATAAAGTGCAGCTTGCTGTCACTAACACTGTTTACACTAGTCCTGCCTTTGTTTAGCATCAATACTGCGTGTGCTGTGACTGACGGCTTTGCCTGCAAGGCCATATGTCAAGTTACACACACCGCGAGACTTTTTGGGGTGAGTCTCCTTGAGTGACAGCCTGTTTTGCTGAGTCATCTGCGACGTTCCAGATTTTCGGGTGTTCGTTGCAACGTAGTTGCCTGTGCACACCGTGTAACCCCTCTTCTTTTTTCGTTTTTCTTCTTCAAAACGGCTTGATATGCGTCGCTCGCACCAGATTCCGACAGGAAACGAACCAACGCATCAATGGTGGAGCTGCGTGGCAGTCTTGAGGCACGCTCGCTGAGCAACCGGCGCTCTTGGCCATTCACGCGCGCTGAATTTATGCAGGTGCCTGCCACTCTGTATCAACCAGCCAGCTGCCGCAAAACATAGAAAACCATACCAGCAATCTCATATGGCCAGGCGGCTGCGTGCAATGACTA